CTCTCACGCCCGCGAATTCGTGTTCGGCCCTGTGCTCCCTTGTTTCGCGCCGCCTGTCGCTGTCACACCCACGACGAGCGCCAGCCCATCGCGTCGAAGACGAGCGCCAGCCCATCGCGTCGAAGCTCGTGCTCGAGCTTTTCCCCGCGCGCGCTCCTGTTCCCGCGCTTCTGAGCCCGCCAAATTTTTTGGTTCCCCCCTCTTTGGTTTCCTATAAATAGAGAAGGGTTGGAGGTGTTTTTTGGAGTGGGAAAATTGTGAAAAAAAAATCTTAAGTGGAGTTTTTTGAGAGAAAAGAAAGAGAGGAAGAGAAAACTTGTATAAGTTTGGTATTTTTCCTCCATAGTGAAACCCCCTCCCGTGGACGTAGGCTAGTTTGCCGAACCACGTAAAATCCCGTGTTTGTATTTGTCTTATCTGTGAGTTGCCATAGCTTGTAGGTTCCCTCGATATTTCAGTCCTTGAACTGATGAGAGGAAGAGTGTATATTTCACTTTGATGAAATATATCACTTTCGATTCTTATTTCCTTTGAGAAATAAGAATTTCATTATCTATTCTCGTTTCCTTTGAGAAACAAGAATATAGAGGTTGACTTGTGCTTTTGTGATAACGAAAGACAGGGCTCTCTCTCAGATGATATCGCTTCCGTGGCGGTGAGCGTGACTCTGCGTCCCAACAGAAACTTAGAATGATACTTGATTGACTATGTCGATAGAAGAACCTCAAAGTACTCCTCTGGAATTGAACCGGCGGATCAGACTATTTTCTTGCTGCTTGTCATTACTAGCTGTGCTTTACTGTTATTCAAACCTTGCGTTGCCTTAGCATGTATCCCTTACATAACAGTTGAAGCCTAAGGTTGATACATGAGAACTAAATTTTCACCAAATTCCAAGTTAGCCCGGAGAGGGTTATGTGGTACTTTACGTTGGTGTGACTCAAATATCCCAATCTGAGTGCCTCCTCAGCTTGGAACTTTGCCTGTGAGCATGCTGAAGGGAAGTGCCGTTTAGGTTCTTTTAACTGGTGTTGAATTGGATATCCTATTTCTATTATGATATGACTTCTAATTGGTTGATGATAACCAATTCAAATAATTCCGGTAGCACGTTATAATTGCATGTGCGGAGGACCACTGAGTTGGTGATTCTTTGCTGGCAGCATCATATAAAAGGGCGCAACAAGTCGCTGTCGGTAATCAGCATCAATCAATAGAGCACTAACCAAGAACTATTCCTTACAACTTGGTAAAACTATTCTCCTCTTTCGCCTGCCCGTGGACGTAAGCTACAAGACGAACACGTATATCTGTGTGTTTTGTATTTTTGATATTTTTATGCACTTTCGTAGGATTGATACTAGTTTATCCTGGGGATTTGTGGTAACACTTTATTTAGTGTCGAACCCTATGGAAAATGAAGGGAAGGAATTTATCAGCTAAGAAATGTATTTAAGGAGACCGTAAATATTTACGGCTCATGCCCTGAGGAATCACAAGAAAGATGATCTGTGTTCAGCACATGAAGGACAGCAAGTGCTGCATTTGCCCGAGAAAAGTTAATAGCCCACGAACGAGTTGTTTACATTTTCTACGATTGTGCACCAGTGAGAATGTTGGGTAATTGTGCATCTCCGTTCTTTGAGGTGTTAAATTGAGAGGCATAATCAGTTATATTCCCAGAAAACATATTTTCTAGATGGAAGGAAATACTTCCAAACATCCCCAATGAAAAGTAGCTTTTTTTTTAGAACGGCGTTTCTTATGGCACAGTAAGCCTGCACTCAAACCTGATGTAATTGGGTATATAATGTGAGGACTTGATGAAGGCAATGGTAGTAATGAGAAAGATTCAACTTGGTTTGCTTTGGTATATGCTAACTTGTTTTCTGCATCGACTCGATTACAAGTGAAAGGCGTTGCAGCAATCGATCGAGGGCTGTAACCTCTTTAATCTCAATTGAAGAATGTGAATGAGCGGCATGATGAAGGATCGCCCATCGTTCTTCTAGTTTGATTTTCATTCCATGTAATTCTATACTTACTTGAATCTAGTGTTATGAAAGTGATCTCATACCTCTTATAGGAACTTCATCCATCAATTCATCTTCTTTCAAATGGAATTTTGAAGTCTCGTTTGGAACTGAAGTTGATTGCTTTCCTTTCCAGTTTCATTCTTCATTTTCCATTAAGTGCACATCTCTACTTATAAGAATTTTCCTTGTGTGAGGTTGGAAAATTCTATAAGCTTTAGAGACAGTATTGTAACCCATAAAAATATCTGCCTCTGCCTTTTTGTCAAGCTTATCTCTCTTGATCTGTGGCATATAAGTAAAACACAAACATCCAAAAACTTTTAGATTTTTCAAATTAGGTTTGAACTCATACCATGCCTCAAAAGGAGTTTTCTCATTAACAGCTTTAGTAGGAAGCCTGTTCAACAAGAACACTGCCATGTTTGTTGCTTCTGCCCAGTACTCCTTAGGCAAATTTTGTTGGCCTTTTTATTTTGATGATGTTTTAACAAACAATTTACAACTAATATTGTTTGTCTAATGTTTGTGTTCTTATTTATTCTAGGTAAACAATGTGTCGGAGGTTGGATGGAATTGAGCTAAACGATCACATCCAATGGAGATTGGCGGAATATCGGAGTGAAGCAATACATCAAGCCATATTCAAGTTCAAGCTTAATCCGCATAGTTTACCAAGTCGAGCTTATTGAAGATCAAGATAGCTTGGGTAATTTAGTTTTTAGGTTATATTATGTGTGTTGGTACTTTAAACTCAATCATACACACACATGCATGTTTTGTTATTAGTTTATAGATTTAACAATCATTATATATATCTTTTATTAAGTCTATAAAATTATTTTATAATGTTTTAAAATATTGTTTAAGTCAAAATGTCAAAAACATGTATGTTTAGTTTTCATGTTTTGGACTAGTTTTGAAAAATTATGAGTTTTTACTATTAGGAAGTGTAATTCCAAAATTTCTTTTTGTAACATGTTCATTATCATGTTTATAAATATTTTTCAAAGTTTCCTAATTTTTAGAATTTATTTGTTATTTTAAAAGAGGTTTAAAAATCAAATTTACTGTTCATTTCAAATTGATAACTTGTTATCAGTCGACTGGTGGATTTTATCAGTCGACTGATAAACGCGCCTGGAGTTGCCAAAAGTTTCTGTTTTTATGACTGATAAACTATTAGTCGACTGATGAGTTTACCAGTCGACTGATGAGATCTTCAGTCGACCGATGAGATCTTCAGTCGACCGATGAGCTGTGAGCTGCCTATAACGGTCAGCTCATCAATCGACTAATATTGTTCATCAGTCGACTGCGGCTTTCCAACGGCTAGTTTTTCATATTTTTAGGTTTTCGTTTTTTTCTTTTTACTTGGTTTTTCTTGGTATTTAGGCTTTGTCTTATGATCCTATATATACCACTTGTTCTCTAACATTCTGAACATACTGAGAAGTGTTTAAAACAAGTTTACAAGAGTTTAAAGTTTGTTTAAAAGTTTGTTTGAGTTTTAAGTTTGTGAAGAAATTTTCACAAGAGCTAAAAGAGATCATCCTTTGGTGTTCGAGCTTCAACTCATCTCTCTCTCTCTCTCTCTCTCTATAGAGAGAGAGAAGTTTTCTTTAAACTCAATTCTAGCTATTTATTGTTTTGATCTTAATTTTCATAAGTTAGATTTCATATTGAGTTTAGTTGTTTTTATTGATACTCTTTGTTACACACACCCACATTGAGCTTTTAGTATTTTCATACATAGTATATTTGGGATTGTGATAGATAGTAACATTGAGTTGGGCTTCATTGAGTTCTTATCCATTGTAGAGAATAAATTATTTATATTTGAGCTTTCATTTGTGAGGTCACATTGTATTGCACAAATACACCAAGAGGAGTGTAGAGGTGAGAGACGTAATCGGTTCCAAGAGGAGTGGTGTCGGTAGTAAAGCCTAGTGAGAGATAGAATTCTGAACATTTGAGGGAGACACGTGAGAGGTCAACACTTAATGTGGTATTTGTGTAGTTACAAGTGTGAGTTGTAAACGTTTGTCGATGAGCGTAGAAAACCGAATTGTGAGGTGTAAACATTTTTGGGTGAATGTTGAAAACTCATTGTAATAATGGAATTCTTTCCGGGAGTGGGGAGCGAAGATGTAGGTCGGAAGGACCGAACTCAATAATCATATTGTGTGTTTGAGTTTGCCTTGGCATTTTATTTGTGCTCATTATTTATTTCGTCATTGCTCATGTTTATTTCGCCCTTAGTTTAATATCTTTGCATATAATCTTTTTGAATATCATTCTTGCTAGGATAATTAGTTAATAAGTTTTTAATTGGCATTAAATCGGATTAGATTAGCATAAAACCTATTCCCCCCCCCCCCCTCCCTTCTAGGGTACTTTCAAATTTTTCTCATGCATCATGTATTTTGTCATCTCAAAGATTGTTCTGTTCTTCCTTTCACTGACTTCATTTTGTTGTGGAGTGTATGGGGTTGTTAACTGATGCTCAATGTCAGCTTCCTTACAAAACTGATTGAATTGATCTGAAGTATACTCTTTGCCATTATCTAACCTCAGCATTTGAATGGTCCAACCACTTTGATTCTCGATCCATTGCTTAAATCTCTAAAAAACACCCGCAACTTCTAATTTAAATCTGAGAAAATAAATCCAGCACATACATGTGAAGTCATCAATAAAGATTATGTAATATTTACTCCGCTTAAGTGAAGGAGTTCTCTGAGGTCCAGCAACAGTGTGGATGAGTTGCAGCTTCTCAGTTGCTCTCCAGACAAATTCCTGGAACGAAAGTTTTGCTTGTTTTCCATATCGACAGGCCTTGCAACCTGATAGTTCTAACTCTAACTGAGGCAGGCCTTCAACAAGCTATTTTCTCTGCAAGTTCAGTACTACAGCATGGTGAAAATGGCCGAGTCTTTTGTGCTAAGTTTCTGTGATGCTAGCAACTCATGAGGAGTAAGCTTTTTTCTCCTCCTGCGATGGATCTAGTGCAAAGCTCTTCCCCTTCATCTTCACTTTGAATACACATTTACCTTCAGAATCCTTGATTTGATACTGATTTGTTTCAAGGATAACTTTGAAACCCTTCTCAAGCAACTGAACAACACTCAATAGATTTTGGTTAATATTAGGTACAAATAAAACATCTCTGATAAGTTTTGTACCTGAAGAACTTTCAATTTCCACGGTGCCTTTTCCCTTAACTGCAATATATTCTCCATTGCTTATTCTCACTTTGTATACCACAGAAGTGTCTAGTTCCTTAAACAGATCACGGTCAAATGTCATGTGGTTTGTGCAACCACTGTCAACAAGCCATTTGTCACTCAAGTTGCTAGTAGCAAAACAAGATGCTACAAAGAGTTGCTCTTCCTCTTTTTGATCAGCTACTTGAGCACCATTCTTCTGCTTCAAATTCGCTTGTGTTACAGTCTTCTATTGAATGTTGCTCTTATAAATTCTTTGATGATGTCCCATCTTCTGGCACTTCTCACATTGCTGGTCTGGCTTTCTCCAGCATTTGAAAGGTGGATGACCCTTCCTTCTACAGTGTTTACAAGGCGGAAAATCAGATTTTGTTCCCTTATTGTTATTAGGAGAAATCAGAACCTGAGTTTTCCTTCTTGTACTTCTCATTCTTCTTCCCTTTTCCTCCTTGACTGAACTGAGCTCTTGTAGCTAATGTACCTTCAACGAAACCTTCAGACCTCAAAAGTCTTCTCTGTTCTTGTGCCTGCAAAGCATTCAACAATTCTGCCAAGCTAACCTTTGACAAATCCTTAGTGTTCTCCAGCGAAGAGATGGTTGCTTCGAACCTTTCAGAAACTGTTACAAGAATCTTTTGAACAATTCTAGAATCAGGAAATTCAGAGCCAAGTAACCTTACTTTCTTGGCAATGCTGAGTAATTTGTCAGAATACTCTTTGACAGTCTCTGAATCCTTCATCTTCTGAAGTTCAAATTCTCTGATCAAATTTAGAATATGCATTCCTTTAATCCTCTCACCTCCTTCGTACTCTTTCTTTAGGAACTTCCAGATATCAAAAGCTGACTTCATAGTCATAATCCTGACAAAGATTTCAGGTGAGACAGCAACAAATAACGTAGCTCTCGCCTTTGACTTCCTTGATTTCTTCTCCTTGTGATTCTTAATCTGCGCCATGGTTGGATTCGCAGGCAATGGTGGAACTTCTTAGTCCTCCTCAACAGCTTCCCAGAGATCATTTGCCTCCAGATGAGCCTCCATTCTTGTTGCCCACACGTGATAGCCTTCTCCATTGAAGACAGGTGGTGCTAGTGTAGTGAAAAGAGTTTTAGATGAATCCATGAAAAAAAATGTGTAATGTGTTTTTCTCAGTCACATGTCCCTCAAGAAGAGGGCTCTGATACCACTCTGATGGTGTTTTTTTACTTAAAATTGACTTTGAAAAAGAAATAAAGGTAAGAACAACAAGAGATATTGTTGTACAATGTCTACACACTTTTATTGAACGGAAATGATACTTAAATACATAAAATTTTAGCTAGTGAATCCTAAAAATAAGCAACTACGTGGAGTCATGTTCCACGATCAACAACTTCTAAGATCCAACCACTAACATCACTAACTGGTAGCGTTTAACTGGAAAACAGAAAATGGCTAAAAATAAGGGAAAAATAATAGCAAAAAAATTAACCGAGTCTTTGTTGCAGTAACTGAAGCAACCCATCAACACATAGAAATCACTTTTACCTTGCTTAATGATCTGCATTATGTGTGTGGTAGATGGTCAGATGGTTAGAGTAATCAACAGGGTCAAGCATTCAATGTACGGTTTCCTTTTACAAATATATGAAAATTTCTCGTACTCTCATCTCAAAACCTCTGTGTATGCACGCATATGCTTTACTAGTGTGCAACTCATGCAAAGCACGACCTCCTGTTTTTTAAACACTGCATTTTAAACTTTCCTCCCTCTAAGTTTTAATACATTTGATTTAATTATTGTATGTTTAAAATTAGAAATCATATCTACTCCTCTATACTTAAAGAAGGATTCAAGTTTTAATATATTTGATTTAGAAATCATATCTACTCCTCTATACTAAAAGAAGGATGTAATTTTTACTACATTTGATTTAGAAATCATATCTACTCCTCTATATTTAAAGAATGGTCCAAATTTTAATACATTTGATTTGTTTTACTGTTTATGATACAATAAATTACTGTAGTAAGTATGAAGGAACAGATTTGATTTATTATTTATAATACAGTAAATTACTGTAGCATAAACAGCAACTTCGAGCGTGGACCAGATTTGATTTACTATTTATACTATAATATTTACATTAGTATTTAATGCACCATGATTAGTAATTCTTTGGTTTCTCGTGGAAGTGATTTGATTAACTTCGCTTATTTTTTTCCGCTGGTTGTGACAGATGACGGGCATTGAAGATTGTGTCAAATGGTGCGGTGACATCTGCTCAAAATCACGCATTTAGACTCAAATACTCGAGTATTCTTGCGTGATTTCGGGCAACATCGCTACACTTTTTGACCCGATCTTCCATGTGTGTGCCATCTGTGATGAATCGCAACCAACATAACAAATAATTAATACGCAAATAAAGTATATGCATGTATACATATTTATACATACCAGCTTTGAGATGAGCCCCTAATCGCCTTTGGTTGAGCAAGAGAGTTTCTGACTAGCATTTTTTTGAGGAGCAAGAGAG